GAGAAGCAAGATTCTATGATACACTGAATCACTGAAACGTGTTGACAAAACATCTAATATAACCCTGACTGGCGTGGCTCAGTTGGTTGAGCATTGTCCTGCAAAGTAAAAGGTCACCAGTTTGATGCCCTATCAGGGCACCTGCCTGGGTTGCAGGCCTGTCCCTGGTTGAGGTACATGCAAGAAGCCACCGATGGACATTTCCCACCCTGTCTTTCCCTCTCTATCTAAAAAAGAAATAAAATCTTTAAAAATCTTATATAAAAATATGCTAACTATATGAATTCAAACAAGCACTGTGCCTAAAGGTGTGGCCTTGGTCACATCATCTTAAGCTATTCTATATTTACATCTATTCCAACCCATATGTATTGCTGTACTTCCAGGGACAGAAGGAAACCCAAGAGATTAGCTACGGCCAGGGCTATAGTCGACCCAACTCTTCGGACAAGACAGAATTATAAGGGACTTACATTTTCACAAACTTTGACCCTCTCCTAAATTTTGCTCAGTTCTACATCATGTTTGGGCTGCAGAAAAGTCCCCTGATATCCCTAGCATATCAGGAGAACAATGATCTCTGCTTATTCTCAAGGAACTGCAATAAGATGAATTCACTAGTAATTTTTTAATCATTTTAAGGGGAAAAAAAGCTGACACTAATGATTAATAGATGTGAATTGCTGGATTCACAGAATTTACAGCCATCAGGGAAGTACCACCTGCTGACCTTGGATTATTTTGTGTGTGTGCTTCCAGTAACTACCTAACTGTCACTTCCTCAGACTCTAAGAGAGCACACAGGCTGCTATGGAAACAAGCCTGTACTTAGCTGGACTGCAGGTAAATGGCTGTCTTAGCCACATTTCCCTTAAATATTCAGACATTCGGAGAGAAACCAATTTCACTTTTTGTAAAAGTCTTCACCCAATGATATGTTTATTGATTTTAGAGAGAGAGGAAGAGAGAGAGAGAAACACCAATCAATTGCCTCCTGTACATGCCCCAACCGGTGATCAAACTTGAAACCTTTTGGTGTATGGGACGATGCTCCAACCAACTGAGCCACCCAACCAGGACTCAATTTAACTTTCTGATTAAACATGGTCTTTTAATTGCTTTCCTTATTACAGTTTTTATTTATTTTTAAAAGGTTTTATTTATTTATTTTCAGAGAGAGAGGGAGGGAGGGAGAAAGAGAGGGAGAGATATATCAAGTGTGTAGTTGCTTCTCTCATGCTTCCTGCCTGGCCCACAACCCAGGCAGGTGCGCTGACTGGGGATTGAACCCATGACCCTTTGGTTCACAGGCCAGTGTTCATTCTACTGAGCCACACCAGCCAGGGCCTTATTATTACAGTTTTTAAAGCACAGTAATTTACTAAAAATTTAAAGTCCATTGTCAAAAGTAATTATTATTTTGATGCAATTGTTTTCAATAGCTTAATTATTTGCTTCCTGTCTAGAGTTTTATGTGGAGCACGAAAAGTTGAAGGTGAGATTCACCTTATCTCTGATAACTACCCTGAAAGGGGCATTAAGAGGTACCCAAATCTGTCCTTAAGAGAACTAAAGTGCCTGAGAACACTCCTGGAATAAAATCTGCAGTGCATGCCAGGGAAATGCAACTTAAGTCTCACCTTAGCTACACTACGTTTTCAAACTTAGCACAATGTGGTAAAACTTACAAGATACTTGGTTTAAAAATAAAATCAGAGCTTCCTTATAAAACTATGGGAAATAGAAATAACACTATCCACCTTCAATCTACTTTTTTTTTGCACAGTGATGCTACTCAGTCCTACATCCTACCCACCAGGGTAGGTTTCTGTACCTCATAGAAAAAGCCCCAGGTTTCCAGTAAGCACAGGCACTAAGCTAAATCCATTAGGAAGGTGAAGGGGGAAGAGAGTTCCTTAGAGAGCTGCTTTCTTTGCTCTTGGTTCAAAGTGCACCATATCCATCTTTCCTCAGAGCAAATAGGTCCTTCCCCACCCCTCCACATTCTTTTTTTTTTTTTAAGTTTGAGAGTAGGTAAATGTAAATTTTACCAAAAATAACACGAATTGGGGAAGAAAAGGGGCCACATGTGAAACCTGACAAGCTCAGGGGAGGCCTGCATGGTGGCCTTACAAACTCAGAGACCAAAGTAACCACATAGGATGGTCTGAAACTAAAACATTCTAAAAGCAGTTCATAGCAGGTAGTCAAGTCCTAGGCCTGTATTTTTCCCTAACATAAGTCAACCTTTGCCTTAAAAGAGCCTGTGTGCTGTCTTTTTGCATCTGCGATAAAATACCTTTGGAATGCCAAATTTCCTTTTTCTGGACCCCTGCAAATCACAGATCCCACACCTGGGGGAGACCACAAACCCCATCACTGTTATTGTTATGCTGTTAATAGCTGACTATTAACTATCCTGTACTCACCATGTAAAAAATTTGTCTATCATTTTACTTTTTATCTAATCCTAAAATTTCCCCCTCACCCCTACTTTGCTTCCTCTCGCCTCCTTAAGCTATCACCAATAGATTTTATGTACCCCACTAATGCCTCTTCTTTTGATTGAAATGTATAAAATAAGGTGCAAAACTCATTTTCCAGAGCATTTCTCAATCCATTGAGATTTTGCAACTGAAGTCAGTTTAGGTCAAATAAACTCACAAAAATTCTCTAGAGGTTTGAATCTTTCTTACATTGACAGACTATAATGCAACATGTACCCAGGGCCCATTAGAAATCAAGATGACCCTTTGGTGGTTCCAGGAATGGAAGCCACAACTCCCAACTTCTTCCCTCATCCCACCTCCTAGGGAGTGTATCAGTGGGCATGACATTTGCTAGAGCTGCTGACCACGGAGCCTATCTGTTACTCTAGAAAGCAAATGTTCTGACAGATTCTGCATGCAGGCCTGAAGTTCCAAAGCAAAGGACAGGAGGAGCCTGAGATTATGGAGGAAGTCTTCTGAGAACAGACCACCCATCCACAGCAGGCCCAAGGGGGGAAGGCCTGGCTTCAGTAATGTTTGAGGGAGCAAATATTCTCTAGTGGGTCCTCTTATCACATAAATATACTCAATGCTTTCACTTTATAGCAAGATTCCAGGTTGATTCAAGAACTCACAGAGGAGGATTTTATCGGTGAGGTAATCAAAAGGATCAATTCTGGGAGGGTTTGCCTTTAGGTTAGGAGCTGTGGGGAGCATCCAAGACCAGGCTCTGGGAAACCCTTTGTTTAGGAAATCCTACCTCCAAGGCAAAGCTTTACTTTCACTTCAATTTTGAGTCCCTAAATCAATTTTAAAAGTACCATCTTAAAGAGCTGCAGAATAAACAGGTCCTGTGCTTTTCAAGGTAACTCTCTGGCCTCCAGGACAATTATCAAATTACAGGGCTGTTCTTCCTGTATATAATCTATCTTTCTTTTTTTTCTTACAGCATCACAAACATACCCTAGTGTGTATCTACCATGTCAAATACCCTGCAAATACATCCCCATTCTGAATCTCTCTGAAGTCTCCCAGAATCTAGGAGGAGCCAAGGAGTGCAATTTGAATAATAATGAAGTGACTGAACAATTTAATTACCAAAGGTATCCCTAGGGAACTCCAACAAAAGGGTTGAACCGCCTTTATCTACAAAAATGTAACCACGTGCTCAACTGTGGGACCAATTATGGAGAGTGCAGAAGAGAGAGGCACACAGGTGCACACACCAGTTTAAGCAAAGGGGGAATTAGCACAAATCTTCCCTGGAGACAGGCCCAGATGAAAAACGGTGACTTGGAAAGCTTCTCTCTCATCTATCAGGCTCAAGGTTTAGTGAACTTTCTTCCCTTTCTGATTCATTGAATGTAGCACTTGCCATATGCAAAATAATGAAACTGTTCTCCTGAGAAAGGCTTTGAACAAAGACTTTAAAATAAGTTCAATGAATTTCAATAAAAGTTCTTCAAAATCAACAGTTACAAAGGTACTTTTATCCCTCACACTCTTCAAACTGAAAAATTTTCAAGTTCCTTTCTTTGGATGCATACAGCTTCACCTTGATGTTATGTTTAATAGCCGCCTTCTACTGACCTTTTCAAGTGACCTTACAATAAAGGACTTTTTCCTTGCTTTGGACCAAAACAAAAAGGAACCTTTCTGAAGCCTAAAAAGCTCTCAACTCTCTTAGGCCTTCAGAATTAAATGCAGGGAAGCCCCCACAGGCTGAACAACTGCTAAATTCCGCTTCTTGAACAGTAAACAGAGTTTACTTTTCTGAGTGGCAGAGTATTCCCCCACCCCGCGCTCACTCCAGGGCAGTCAAAGCCATGCCCAGGTGGTGACTCTGAGCTCAGATAAGGTGTCCTAACAACCATGTTTGCCCGGATCCCGGGAAACCCTCGGCCACTGGGCAACTCTTTTATCTCCTGGGTGCATTTCCCCACCTCTCCATGGGTGCCCCCTGAGCCGCAGACCTGGTCCGCCCCAGGACCCCTCCCGCGACTACGGCCAGGGCAAGACTGACACCCACAGCTGCCGACGACCCTGCCAGTCACGCTGCCGCCGGCTGCCTTTTTTAGCCACGACATCTGACCCCAGTTTTAACAGCAGCACTCTGGGAGGGGTCCCAGGGCGATCCGGGCTGTCCCCTTTCCTCCTCAACCCCCAGATCCTGCCGAGAACTCGAGTGAGAGGTGGGGGAGGTACCCGCCCTGGAACGGGCTGGCGAGCGCATGTTTCTCCAGTCCAGACTCTTCCTCTCTCTGCTCTCGCCACTGATCCCGGTACCCCATCGCCGCCTGGACCCGGGCTCCCCCTTTTTGCAGCTTGCGGTCGCTGCTCCTGCGCCCCTCCCCACCCCCACCCCGCAACTCCGTTCTTCTGGATCCCCTCCAAATCCGCGGTCAGCACGCTTGGCCCGGCCGGGGGCGGGAAGAAACAGAGAGGGAAGGGACCGGGTGCGGGCTGAGGACGCGCGGGGCTGGGGGGCCAGGCAGGGGGCCTGGCGCTCACCTCCCTCCTCCGCCCCGCTGTCCGGGTCGGCATCCGAGGAGTCGGGCCCATCCCCGTAGTCCGCTAGTCCCACCAGCTCATCCTCCTCATCGTCGTCCTCGTCTTCCAGCTGCGGCTTCCCCAGCACCTGGCTCATTGCGCCCACCGGCCAGCTGTCCCGGGGGCGGCGAGTTCCGGGTTAGGGGCTAAGCCTCCTTGCTTGCAGCTCACAACCTTTCTGAATTGGGGTTTTGTCTAGAGCGTGGCGGGAGCCGGCGGAGGCGGGGGGCCGCGAGTACCCCCGTCGGGCAGCGTCCTGTCCTGATCTGGGTTTCGCGGTTCCCAGAGCGCCCCGGCCCCCTTGCCGCCCCTCCCGCCTGCCGGCGGAGGACTCAGCCGGAGCGCGGCAGTTCCTCCCCGAGGAGGGAGAGAGAGACTGCGTGACCCAAGTCACCTGACACACACTGTCACACACACACACACACACACACACACACACTCTCTCTCTCTCACACACACACACACCCCGCACGGGCGCGCGCGCGTTCTCCCGGGCGCAGGCACCGCTCGGCGGGCGCTGGGGGGAGGACCGACACACACTCATGGGGGGTGGGAGGTAAAGCGCACATGGACATACGTGGGGTACCCCCGGGCCCGGGTGCAGGCACCCACCACGGCTGCGCGCCAGGGGCCCCCACGCGCCGCTTCTGCGCGTTGTCCCCGCACGGGCGGGCGAGCTGAGGGCCTGCACACCCTGAGAACCTTTCCTCCACCCACCTCCAACACACACACCATAACTTGGGCAGCCATCTCCAGCTTTTAATCCTAGGGGAGGGGCCCCAGTCCCCAGTCCCAAGTGGGCTGCCCCTCTAACACTGCTGTACCTGGACTTCCACCCATAGCAGCGTCCCTAGGACACTCCGTGGATGCTGAAGCGCCCCAAGAAGAAAACTCAGAGAAATGCACACGGCAGAGGTGCAGTCTCCATAGCAATTGCCTTCCAGTGTGCCTTTATGGTTCAAAGTGCTTCCCACCAAGAATATTAAAAAATCAGGCCTATACAGATGTAAATGTTTCTGAAAAAAAAATATTCTTCGTGGCTGTCTCAGGTGTATAACATACTCGGGGGCTACTCATGGTCATCTCCTCCTGTCTCACTGCATAGACTGTAATCCCACAGCTCGAAATTAAATGTTTCAAGGGTTTTGTGCGGGGTTGGGGAGCCAGTATCTGCGTGAGGGGGACAGTTTTCCCATAGGAGTATCGGCAATGTGGGGGAGGGTGAAACTAAAACCCGCGTTCCCCCACAAGCTTTTCACCACAGGATATAGTGTACCCACCCTTTCTGGATACTGCAAAAACAACAACAACAACAACAACAAAAACACAAAAAACCCCCCACGTGGATGAACTTCCTGTGTCAAGAACAATAAGAAATAAACCAGCTGGCCAGCATGGTGATACAGATCCTACAGGTGCCAGCAGCTCAGCAGGTGGTATGGGGAAGGAGAAGAAGAAGAAGGGAGGTGAGGCTGGGGTTCTTGGGGCCCAAAGGTTCTGACTCTGTAGGGAACATTTACTGAGCACCTGCTATGTGCGGGGGGTAGGGGAAATTGGAGGTGGGAGGTGGGAGGAGGGAGACCCCCAAATGCTCAGAACAGTGTTCCTGCCATGGAATAGCCTAGCAAATTATGACTCATGTTCTGGATTTTGTATCAGTTGTGGGTGTTGAAAGTGGTTACAGACACCTTCTAGAAGGTGGTTACTTCTAATTGGAAAGGTCTTCAGATTTTCCAGGTGGAGGTAGTATGACTTGGTATGATTGTATCAGTCAAGGGCCTTCCCAGGGAGAAATAGAGGGCACAAGCAAAGATTTTTAACTAAAAAGGCTTTAAATGAAGGGGTGTGGGCAGAGTTTAGGGAACCAACCAGGGCTTAGCAACAGTGGGAAGAGATCATCTTGCCTCAGCTGGTAGGAGTAAGGAAGGGCTAGAGTCCTGGCGAGGGGCACAAAATGGGAGCTGCAGCTGATGAGGAAGCAGCTCTGCTAGGACCACCTCACACAGAGGAGACAGCAATGAGAAGAAACACCCTGACCTCTCTCTCCTCCCACCCTCCATTCTCCTGCAAGTACTTCCCACTGGCCAAACCCAGCTGGAAGCCGGAGGTCAAGGGACCCTGGAACCTAGTTCAGGAGTTGGGCTGGGAGGGCAGAAAGTTGGTTCAAGGGCTCCAATGGGGGAAGGGGATGGCAAATAGCACAACCAACCAGCACAAGGAGACTCTAATTGCTCTTGAAAGAGGAAGTTACTCCAGGGGTCATTTTCCTAGTCCATTTTCATCTGTTCCATTAAAGAAAGTCTCCAGAAGGAAGGGCCCTCCCAGGCTGGGTTTGAAGACTTTCAGCTATCCCAGAACAAACCCACCAACCTGGCGCAAGGTTTTTTAGCTGACCTGATTGAAACCGCGGAGGGCTACTTATGAGGTCTTAAAAGCCAGCCCAAGGTCAGCCCAGATCATCCCTGCATCCCTGGCTGGTTGCTAAGTGTATAAGCCCCAGAACCCCAGGGATTCAGGACAGAACAATTCCAAAGCCAAAAGTCCCCCTGTGCCTGAGGCCCAGAAAGGGCAGAGATATTTAATGATCCTCTGCTTTCCCCAAGAAGAGAGATCTTAGGGGGAAACACCAGCAAGAGATTGGCGTACACCCTAAGATATGTGAGAATCAGACCATTCTTGAGAAAATAAGGGACAAATCCACAAAAATAAATAAAAGTCAAATCCTCAATAACGTTCCACCTCAAGGCAGATAAATGAGTCATAGACAGGTTTAAGAGTTTCTAATTCACTGTCATTTCAGAAATGTACAGTATTGATAAAATTTGAGCAAACGGATTGGAAAGAAACTCTATTGCTTTTCTTTTGCTGTTATCAGTCTGATACTGTCAGCTTTCAAATAAGGGGTGTGGTGGGGTTTTCTTCTTTTTCTTTTAAAGATTTTATTTATTTATTTTTAGGGAGAGGGGAAGTGAGAGAGAAAAAGAGGGAGAGAAAAGAGGGATCATTGTGCAGGAGATACATCAATCGGTTACCTCTCACATGCCCCCCAAACACGCCCCCAACCCAGGAGCTGGCCTGCAACCCAGGCATATGCTCCATCCAGGAATCGAACTGGGTGACCAGTCAGTTCACAGGCCGCACCCAATCCACTGAGCCAAGCCGGCCAGGGCAGGATATGTTTAAATAAATCTTAGAAATACAAGTTCTTAGCCCTGGCCAGCATGGCTCAGTTGGTTGGGGCATCACCCTATACACGAAAAGGTTGGGGATTCAATTCACAGTCACAGGGCACATACCTAGGTTGTAGGTTCGATCTCCAGTCAGGGTCCATATGGGAGGCAACCAATTGATGTTTCTCTTTCTCTCTCTTCCTCTCTTTCTAAATTCAATAAACATATTTTTTTAAAAAATAGAAGTTCTTATGTTTAAAAATCTGTGTATGTAGATTCTTTTAAAATGTAAATAAAAGTAGAAAAACACTAAAAATTGAAAGCCTTTGGGAAGCTCAGTGTGGAATCTGCTCAGTAGTTGGCTATGGCATTGGGCACCCTCTGGCCTAGAGCTCCGGCTATGTCTATGATGTCTCCCAGGGAGATGATCTCAAGAATGTAAGGATTTGTCTATGTTTTACCCATAGTCATTGCTGGTATATGTAACCATGACAGGGTGCCATATACATACAAGAGAAGTGTTTAATAAATGTTTATGGAGTGAATGAAAGATAATATGTGGCCAGTTCTCTACACAGACCTCGGATATTTTTAAGAGAAACTTTAGGAAAAGACAAAAGCCAAAATTTTCACTTATTCTAAACCCTGGGAAATGCTACAGTGAGATAAACTGAAGTTAAACTGAAGAAGAAACTGAAGTTAAACTGAACTGAGTTAATCTCTACAGAGAAGAAAACTGAAGTTAAACAATTTGCACAAGGTACCATATGGAGTTTATGATGAAACTACTTTGGAACTCAGTCAGACATTAGACATTATTCCTATTTAATGGCCTGAAGCTAAAGTCAGTTAAATTATAGCCATTAAACTGAAAAGGGGGAAGGGAAGTAAAGAGCTTGTTTCCAATCTCCTAGGGAAAGAAGCCAAACACACATGGACAATCATTGATTGATATTATTTCTTTTATTAGGAACACAAATATCACACAAAGATTAAGTGATTTAGCACCCTATATGCTATATTGTACTATATGCTAAGCTAAACTATGACACTTGTAAGTGTATTTTTGCTTTAAATTTTGAATTTTAAAGGTCATAAATTTGTGCCCTTATTTTAGTGAATTGTTTTGCTATTACCAATTAGATGTCTTGTGACAAAGAACACGAGAACTTTTTAAAAGAAATCTATACAATTTAGGCAAAATAATTGCAGTCCTGAGCAGGGCAAGCAATTAAATACAGTCTGCATCCTGAATCTTAGGATGTTTTGCAGTCTGACGGCATTGTGTCTGGTTCCTGGGATTCACGTTTTGAAAGCCTTTCAGGCTTTCTTTTTAAATATGTATTTAAAGCAATTAATTTTTTCTTGAAGCAAACAAAGGAAAGAGCCTTCTCTAGAATCTTGCTGGACTCCTGCTGATCCAGGGAAGCCAACCAAATTTCTCAAGAGGGCAGCTCACAGCCTCCAGTTCTCCCAAGACCGGACGAAATCATTAAAAATCATTAAACCATTTCCACTGAAGCAATCTATCATTAAAGAGATTTTATTAAAGTAGTTTTGACATTTTAAAAACATGCATATGATAAAATAGCCCAACAGCATAAAAGAATATCCAATGAAAAGTTAGTTTTTCTCCCCCCCGACCTACAGTCTATGCTATTACAGTTGTGCTGAATTTCCCCCCTTGTCCCCCTTCTACCAGCACCCCCAACTCTCTCAGGCAATCCCCCCACCACTGTTCATATCCGCTGGAAGCCCCCTGCTTTTAAATGTGCAAACATGTTTGTTGCCATTATAGAGACTTATATTTGATAACTTCATTTCTTTATCAGTCAACAAACATTTTTTTTTTAAATGAAGGCAAGTAGGTTTCCAGGCCTGTGCTTTCAGGGAAATAAACAGAGGGAGGCGAAAGCATAACGAGTTGCGAGGAGCCTGCCACAGATGGGGCAGCCAGGGAAGGCCTCTCTAAAAAGGTGACACCTGAGTTGACATGAGAAGATAAGCACAAAGCGACAAGACAGAATGTCTCGGCAGTTAGAAAAGCCCAGGGGAAGGGAAAAGCTTTGCTGTAGGAGGAACAAAAAGATCAGGGTGATGAGAGAAGGGGAGGTCGGCAGGCATGAGAGACAGCTGGCCTTGTCAGCCAGGATAAGCATTTTGGATTTTATTCTAAGTGTCAGTGGGAGCCGTGTAGAGTTTTAAAAAGGAAGGTGAAATGTGTG